ATACTACCTTTTCAATCTGGTGAATGTATTCCTTGGCAGTGTAATTGCTGGCAGTGCAATGGAACAGCTAGACACATTCATTAAGCAGTCAGCAAATGAGTATGTATTCCTTCCATTTTCTTCTTTGTATATCTTCTTTTAGTGATTCAATTGCTGTTTATTCATGGGGGGTGTGCTTTTGATGTAGATTCTTAGTTACAACCAGTGGTATTAAGTTTGGTTTCTCTGTCAAATTAGATATGTTTAATTGGATTGCATTTTTGGTTATGATTTTGGTTTCTAAATTTGCCTTCATTTCAATCTAAACATTTTTTTCCTTTTCTTTGCAGAATTCCTAAAACAATTGGTGTAGCTGTACCAATGAGAGCGACTTTTTTTTTTATTACTTATATCATGGTTGATGAATGGGCTGGAATAGCTGCAGAGATTTTGATGCTGAAACCGCTTATATTTTATCACTTGAAGATTTTTTCTTGGTGAAAACAGAAAAGGACAGGGAGGAGGCAATGGGTCCGGGAAGTTTGGGCTTCAACACCGGAGAACCTCGTATACAACTCTATTTTCTACTTGCCATGGTTTATGCTACTGTGACACCTGCTGCACTTCCTTTCATTGTAGTTTTCTTTGGGCTAGCATATGTTGTCTTCCGTCATCAGGTAAGACCTTTGATACATAATATTCAAGTGTTCTAGTAAATGAATCTTTGTTTAGCTTTGTCTAATTTTATCTTCTTCTTTTTTGTTGTTGATAAATATAGATCATTAATGTTTACAATCAAGAGTATGAAAGTGCTGCAGCATTCTGGCCTGATGTCCACGGACGCATTATAATTGCTTTGCTTGTATCACATGTCGCCCTCATTGGATTGTTGAGTACAAAGCATTTAGCTCAGTCTGCACCGCTTCTCGTTGCTCTTGCTGTCCTCACAATCTGGTTTTACACATTCTGCAAAGCCCGATATGAACCTGCTTTTGTCAGATACCCTTTGCAGGTTTGTTGGTGTTTGGGCATTTAGCTGATGGTTTCCTTTGTGTCTTCAGTGATTCATTCATGCATAAAGCTTTGATCGTAACTGTTACTTTGTCGTTTATTTCAGGAAGCAATGATGAAAGACACTTTGGAACGTGCAAGGGAGCCAAACTTCAATTTGAAACCCTATCTTCAAAATGCATACATCCATCTGGTTTTCAAAGACAACGATGATGAAGTGGAGGAGCAATTTAGCAATAAGTTAGAAGACGAGAGTGTGCTAGTACCAACAAAACGCCAATCTCGAAGGAACACACCAGTCCCTAGCAAAATTAGTGGTGCGTCCTCACCATCCTTTCCGGAGGCTGTTCCTGAATGTTCGGTGTCCTAAATTAGGTAACAACTTTGAACCGGTTTTGTCACTATACTGTTAGGTTTGACCCTGAGCAAAACCATGCAGTGTAAAGAAGAAAGACGACATGCAGTGTAAATTAAACGAACGAACTCTACGTCTGATGTATGCATTTTGTGTTTGCGAAGTTCTTGTGCAGGGGATTGGTATCCCATTACACCTCATGAAAATCTCAAGCTTTTAGTTCAAAACAAAATACAGATAACGTTGTTTGACTAAGAAGATGAGGTTTGGCAATGTATCTTGACCAAATTGAATGACAAGAAGAAAGTGAAAATGAACATAATTCTCCAACTTTATTAATTTACTTGGTTGCATTTCCTTCTAACTTCCCCTTCATCATCGGTAAGAACATTTGATGAAGATAGCTTCACGAATGCAGAAGAAAATACCTGGAAAAATAGGTACTTGTTGGCAGCGAACTCTGTGACTATGGGTGCAGTTCGTCGATCTATTGACATCCTTGAATCAATAGTGAAGAGGCCTTTCCCCATTAAAACATCTTTATAGTAGTGGTTATCAAAAGCCAAGGAAGTCTTATCGTTTGGCACAATGGTGAGGTTCGTCAGTGGTTTTTGGGTAGGGCAAAGTAATCTGAGCATGGCTTTAAAGCTAGGATTCATTGGGTCGTCAGGCTGCCTATCAAATAACCTGTCCACTATGTTTATGCAGTGTCCACCTCCTAATGTGTGAGCTCCTGCAAGAGTAACAACTCCATTAACAAACGAGAAACTTTTCAAAACCTTGGGGGATGGCTGATTAATTGGATTACCCATGATTGCAACCGATTCCTCGAGGTTTAGGCCTTTCGATGCGAAGACATCGAGTAATGTATCGACTGTTATGTTGGGTGGAGGAATCTTCACATTAGCTGCTTGGAGACTAGAAGTGATGGAATCCTTTCTTCCAAGAGGGATCTGAATATTGGGTCCTCCGGACAGTGCAACTGATACCTTGGCTGCTAAGGCAATGATATCTGCACATGAGACCCGCCCTGGACACTCGGCTTCTAGTTTGTATTTAATAAGGTGAATAGTTTCCAGCTTTCTAATGCCAAAATTCATTCCTGAAGCTTATCCAACAGGATGGATGCATCACATCCCTGTATCATAAAAACAAGTAAAAAAATATATAACATGCCCCCAAAAAAAGAGAGGAAAAAAAACTCTGGGTCTGAGAGAGGAATACATGCACTTGGCAATCGTGAAAAAATAGCCTAAGAAAAGCAGCCAGTGCAGTAGGATCAGTGAAGACAACGCCAAGCACAGCATTTCTCACAGTGCTCTCCACGTTGGGACATGAAAACTTATAATAGTCATAAGCGAGCTGAGCCCCACAAGCTCCGACTAAGATCCCCATCCCTAGTGCTGCCCTTAAAATCAACATAAAACAAGTACGGTTTCTCATTCTCTCCCTTAATCTTACCTTATCGGCCTCTTACAAGTACCTAAAGCAATGCGGATGAACATCATAAATATAGCAAATGCAGAACGATAGTAGAGGGATTGTGTCTTACTCATCTTCCAAGAAAGCAACGACTCAAGAAATTATTGAAGTTGGACCCCCGAACTGAACTTCATAGCAATAACTGTCCTATTCCAACGTCGTCCTCGTCACAGGATCTTAAATATATAGCATCTAAAAACCTCAAGGAACAAGAAGGTAAACAAACTTGCACCCAAACATTTTGTATCAACCAATTAGTTTCCCATCATTTGTTTCAAAAATATTTTATATTATCTCTTAACTTACAAATATTTGGTCGATTGAGTCTTAACTTGTTTGACACCGTTGTTGTCATAACAATAAACTTGAATATATTTAAATATGTAATTTTTTTAATCAGAAATATGAGAATCATAGGTGATTCATAAATTGTATTAAAAAATATGGCCAATTATCATAATGGATGAAAAAAATAGATCTAATTAGTGTGTTATCTTCACTTGAGTTTAACAAAAATAATGCATTGAACATGAAAATATTGTTTGAAATAATCCTGCCATTTCGTGGAAGAGGGTAAAATTTCATGTACAGTTAAGCATGGCTCTGAATTGGGCCTACCATTCTGGAATTGAATCTCAACTCAGAATCAATTATGACTCAACATAGCTGCGTTTTCATTGGCATTTATAGTCCAATCTATGACCCCCTCAATTAACTCTTTTTTCTGCTATACTTGTTCGGGCATTTATTATTGTACTTTGAAGCATTTACCAACTAGTTGGTGACAATTGGCTGAATAAGGAGATAGTTAAACTAAAAAGGTAAAAATCCTTTTTTTTAAAGGTTGGATTTGATGTTACACCTAATCAAGATGACACTTATTTGTTATATGATGATTTTTCCTACTTTGAACCCTCAGATTGGATTTAGATACGTGATCTGCAATCGTGAATAGTTTTCTCATGTCGCTCGATTCTGATTTATTGTTTATTGGTGGTCTTTCGATAGCTTGATCCCTTTTATAGTTCGTTTGTCGATGCGGTTAAAACTGTTTGTATCTATCTTGATTGTAATTTAAATATTTTCTATTTTTAATATATCTTATAAAAAATGATTTTGTGGGAATGCTTATAGTTTTAAATTTGTTGTGAAGCATATATTTCCAAGGCCACAGCTGTTAAAAGCTAACTATAAGCATTCCAACATAAACCCACCTCCATATGTCGGCAGCAAAGCTTCGGATATTGCTGATCCTTCATCTATGCAAGCTATGCTAAGAACAGTCACTGCATACCCTAAAACAATGTGGTAAATCCACCACAACTTGCGGCAGTCTCTTCTTTCTCCGGTGGCAACCACATCTGAACCCCACAAAACAGAACTCTAATTGAGCTTATGTAATCTTGTTGCCTGGCTATACAATCAACGGAAGGAAACAAACAAAGGCACTCTAGGTGGAGCCCTGAGTTAGAGCTTATGTTGCTCCCTATGAGCCGGCTCTGACTATGAGGGACTCCTTCATTTATTCTAGGAAGAGGCTCAACAACTATGAACTGAAACTCTGATGTCAATTACACAAAAAAGGGAAGAAAACCCATGTGAGGTAAAAGGGAAGAATACATTAGCAGCGGCTGCACTTTGGGAAGAATTCAATGTCAATACGATACAATGTAGACGTATCAATCCAAGTGCTTCTTTAAAAAATTCAATTTAGAATACAAAAGCAATCTGAGTATTGGATTAAATGACATACATTTCTGAGAATTATAGAGTCGAAAAGGTTGACACACCTTCTCATAATTATATATGAATTAATTTTAACAAAAGTGCGTATTTCAATTGGGTACAAATGTTGGATTGCTAACAAGGCCAAATCTCTATATATGTTGATGAAGATTAGATATATAAAAGTCAATGCAATCAAGCGCACAGACTCTATGCATGAAATTAACCTAATATTTTGGTATAAATTTTCTTGGGGACGCCTAACTCAGTTTACTTAAATATCTTAAAACACATGTTGAATTGGACCATCCCACTAACGGCAAGAACGAAACCATGCAGAAATTTATTTTCTACTTTAAAACCAACTCCTGTACCTTTATTACATGTAATGTCAACCTCTATTCTTGTCTATAAATACCTCTACATCACACCCAGTTTATCCAAAGCAGCATATCATTTTGGGACAACTCTCAAACATGAAAGCTCTCAAAATCTTCACAGTCATTGCCTTGTTCATGGCCTTGGCCAACACCAATCTCTCCGCCACACCATCTCAAGACGAGGAAGACCGTAGCCAGGTCGAACCACCTTTCGTAAGGATTACGAGCCGGTTTCTTGCTCAAAAACCTCGAGGAGCAAGGACGTGTAACAAATACCCCAGAGTGTGTCGTGTCGCCGGCAGCCCGGGGCCTGATTGCTGCAAGAAAAAATGTGTGAACGTAACAGTGGACAGGGTCAACTGTGGTAAGTGTGGTAGGAAGTGCAAGCACTCGGAGATTTGCTGCAAAGGGAAGTGTGTGAATCCAATGTCCAACAAATGGCACTGTGGTGGTTGCAACAATGGCTGCGACAAAGGAAGTAAATGTTTGTACGGGATGTGCAGCTATGCATAATAAACCCTGGCAGACCTCTCTCGCTCTTTCTGAGACATTTCATTAAATATTCAAATGATTAGCAGCCAGCATAAATTTATGTCATAATAAATAAAGGAGACTCATCAGAACTTGGTGTGTGCTTCGCTAGATGTAGTTGATTTTTTTAAGAATTTAATTATTGCTTCAATGATTTCATGTAACTATTTGTAAACTTTCATGATGTTTGTGATACATAAAACTTATTTTTATTGATGGTTATAATGAATGTAATATATTCTCTGGTTCAAATAGAATGAACTTTGTAGTTCTAATTGACCAGTTACTATGTGATTCTTGACGATCATGATCAATAAAACTCAACTCTCGATTTGATTACATTTAACCGTAATGATCATCATCACTGTTAAATAGTTATCGTCAAAAAAGACAAAGGGTTAAGGAGCCTTACAAATATCTAAAGATTACAATATCAACTTTTACTCATAATACGAGAATGATAAGATTTACTTGCCGATTAATAATATCTAATCAAAGATAGAATATTACTTATTAATCTTTTAAATGGAGCCTTAATATGAAAACTTCAATTGAGTTTCCTCCTGGTGTGATAACTTCTTATGATTACCTAAGAAGAACAGGGATTAGCATTTACGACAGAAAAAATGATTAAAGTAACATTATAAGGACATAATTACTTACAAAACAAGCATTACCCTTTAGTTTTAAAACTAAACTTAAAAGGTGACAGTGATGATTAAATTCGAAATTTAAGCTAAACAATCTTTAATTGGATATTTATCCATATATCCTTTAATAACATAAAATCCAAGGTGCTGGAAAGTGTAAATTACTATCAAATTGATGAGAAAGAGGTTATTTGCCTACCTGCATCTAAAATTTTCAACTATGATTTCTTCATTAATTCAGGAGGCCTAATTTCAGTTCCTTGTATTTCTTGTACTCCTTGAATTCAAGAGGTATAGTTGTGGCCCAGAAACCTCGTCCTGCCTTCACATGCGACCGACACCCTCAAAATTTGCAGCATGAGGGGCAGCCAGGGCCCGTTTTGCTGCAACAAAAAATGCGTAGACATCAAGACGGATAAACTCAAGGAAGTGTGGGAAGAAGTGTAACTATTCCAAGATTTGCCGTGAAGGGAAGTGTGTGAGCCCATTGTCCAACCAGAAGCACTGTGGAGGATGCAGCAATAGATGTGGTAAAGGAAACCCATGTGTTTATGGGATGTGCAGTTATGCATAAAAATTGGATGCTCCACGTTTTAAGCTCACCTAGATGTAACGAGCTATGTGTTGCCGAAGCTGAAATGAATCGAATTTTCTTCTATTGTAGCTAAGGAATACTATGTGTACCACTAATAAAGTAATAAATAAAGGCCGAAGCATCGTTGATGTGGTCACATATGTTTAAATATGTTATTGGTTTTATCTGTCTATAATCTAGGTAAAATTATATATTTTCAGAAACTTTCATATCGGTAAAATATTTTTATGGTTATGGTTATGGTTATGGTTAATATATTATTGGGTACATCATACAAATGGTCACCCGACTATATGATGTTATTTTGTTGAGTCATTCGACTGTTAAAAGTTACAAAATGCTCCCATAATTATAAGACAATATTTTGTTCAGTCCCCATATTATTAAAAGTTTTAAATGGTCATCTGACTATGCAAATGTTCAAAATTCATCATTATTCGTTAAAAAAATTGACTACCGTTTTAGTTAAACGTTAATATCATGAATAGAGTATGATAAAATCATATTTTAATGATATTTACTTGCATCACCATTGCTTTCAAACACTGGCTTGAAGATATAATGTTTCAAGAACTAGCACGACGACATAATATAAACAAAGAGTCGATCCACAAAATACAACTCAAACGGTTTTGGGATCAAATTTTATCATATATCAGTCAACATGTTAACATCCAGCTCAGACGACCACTAATTTTTAACGGAATAAGATGAGTTTGTAACATATGAATAATTAGGTGATCATTTTATAACTTTTAATAGTCGTAGAACTCAACAAAACAACACTCTATAAGCATTTTATATATGTTAATAGTTTGCTCATCTAAAGTCTAAACATAATTGAGCTGTTTAGGAGCATCCTCCCGGATGCAGCTGGACTATTCCTTCTGGTGGTTCATAGTAGAAACACTCTTTTATATATGTTAATTTTTTTAATCAATTTTGAAAGAAAAATATCATTTATCATTAATCCTAAAATTTTAAAAATATTAGAATAAATCAGATTGAAACCAATTATATATTTTCTAATTATTAAGCTTAAATATAAAATAAACAAATTAATTTTTAATTTAAATCAATCAAGACCAAATTTAAATTAAATATTAAATCATATTCAAAGAAGAAGAAAATATGACCGATGCTCAGAGACGAAACTACTATATGCATGGGTGGACTGTGACCAGGGGCGGAGATTAGTGAGGGCCCTGTCCCTGTTAAAATTTGTATATTCGATATAATTTTGGTTTAATAATATTTTGATTCATGTAAAAATAAATATTTAAATTAAAAAATATAAGAATTTATTAAATATTTAATCAAGTAAGAAACGAACTAAAGAAGAAGAATCTCGTGTTTTCAAAATTTTTGGTTTAATAACAATTTAGGTTATTGTAAGTTTAAATATTAGACAAATTAGGTGTTATCTTGTGAATTTTGAGTTTCTTTTTAAATCTAGGGTGAATACAGGGTAATATTTGTACAAAGACTCTCAACTATTTGACAATGAACACTCATATTCCTACATGCGCAGTGCTCGAACTCGAGACCTCAAGAATAATAATAATCTCTTAATCACTAAGGTCATTTGATTTGTGCTGAATTTTGAGTTTAAACACCCAATAAGTCTTTACATTTTTCTTAAATATTCTAATATTTCGGGCTCTGTCAATATTTAGTTCTGATTTCGTCCATAGACGTGACCCCCACAACCCTCCAGCCAGGGAAATTTTTTTACACTAAATATATGTATATATATATAATTTAAAATATTTATAAAATAATTATAAATTATCTTATACTTTAAAAAAATTATACTTTATTCTTTCAAGTGAAATCTTGATTCCATCTCTACCTATACCATCCATATATGAATTCTAAGTCGCAGGCTGTAAGTTGAGAAAAGGAGAGTAAGAAATAATGAAACAGTACGAGAAATTGTACGGCGGATGCGATACGGTGCGACCCAATCATATCCGGCGGTGTTACACATTGGGGGTCCCTACCTCCTAAAGTCAACATTCGTATCTCACTCGTCCAATAAAAATAAATTCTTCCCCACGAAACAACTACTCACCATCTTCTTGATTGAACAAATTTGACCTCTAAACAACCCCAAAAAGACAAAAATAAAATAAAATAAAAACATTAATGATAATCCCAAGCGCACGTTGTTGCCTGAAGTCTCGTTCTAAACTTCTCATTACAAATAAATTACGTGTCAAACGGTGGTTGCCGTATTTCCTTGACTGTTCAGAACAAAATAGAAGAATATTACACGTTTATTGAGAAATTGTTTCTCTTCTGGGAATTTTACTTGCACGTTACTTGTAATTCTTTTTTATTCTTCGGGATTTATCTCTCGTCTTCTTGTAAGTGTTGCATTCAATCCTCTTATCTTGTCGTGAAGATATGGTTCTTGAAACGTAAGTTCAAAAGTTGGCTCAAACAAGATGTGCATTGGAAAAAGATAATTATGCTCTTGGTTTTCTGTGTATTTAATTTAATTGGAAATTATGAATAGAATTATCCAAGTGAAACAACATTAACAAAAGAGTGAAGTTACCCTCCCCCACAAGAAATTTATAAACATGTAATCTCCATCGCATCCCCCAATTAAAGAACATTAAAAACAAAAAGGAGGGGGAAATGGGTTTAACAAAAAAGTCGTTTCTAAGTAATATCCGGGGGGGGGGGAACCTACTGATCTATCTTATGCTGCTTGTGGTGAAAGGTGAATGGTGGTGGACTGTTGGCATTACTTTTTATTGTTGTTGGTGTTGCTGCTACTATTATTTGGGTGAGCACCACCAATGATGGAGGTGATGGCAGCTGCGAGGGCGGCAGTGAAGCTCGGATCATTCGTGATGGCAGCCGTGGCGGCGCTTACTTTGTCAGCAAGCGTGGGATGCTGAGGCTGCTGCGGTTGTGGATGAAGAACTTGGTGGCCTAACTGTGAAGACAACTGTAGGCCTGAGAATTTTGACTGATTATCAGGTGCTTGACCAAAAACTTGAGGCAATCGAGGGGCTGAAATTGACGCTAAGTTTTGGGGAGGTGGTCTTTGGAGTTGTAGAGGGCTTGGTGATTGAGTAAGGTCCAATGTTACAGTTGGGAATGGAGCCGAAGCTGAAATCGTTGCCATGCTCGAAGAGCATGATGGAAGGATTGTCCTCGCTAGCAAATTTGAGTTCATGATCCCATCTACACTAGGCATTGACCCGGAAAGCAACATGCTAGCAGCTGCTGATGTTATTGACGCCATTGCCATGGCAGCAGGTGGAAGTGGGTGATTGTGGTTGCCCTCGTAAGTTGTTATCAAGATTGTTCTATCTTCAGCGCAACGTTGAACCTGATCATCACCATTTATACTACTAATCAATTCCAGGCTCTCAAAATTCAAAAATGAATTATAGGCAAGTTAAAAATAAGACATTAACATACTTGTTTTCGGACAGGACAACCAACTGACATGGTGCATCGATAATAAGCTCGAGGGCAGGGGTTTCCTTTTGCCATTTTTTGTCCGTATTTTCTCCATTGGCATCCATCACTGATCTGTATCAATTCCACTAAACAAGTTAAAAATAATTTCATATCGATCCAATGATCTTCACAATTTGTGATTGAAGCAGTAACATACCATGGCAGCTTCGGATCGAGCTCGAACAGAAACACGAGCTTTCCTCATGGTAGCATCCGTAGATTGTTCAATAGGCTTTTCAGGATTCATCTTTTGGGCTTTGTTAGGACCCCGGTTATCAGATTCCGGACTTTCTTCTCTATCAATTGTCTTGCCATCCCGCAAACCAGAACCCTCCAGGTTAAACTCAAAAATCCCATTTTTTCCTTTGATATAATTCTTGGATGCAACTTCCAGGTTGTTTGGAGGAGACCCTGAACGCATTCTTTCTTCTGATGAAGGATGTGACTTCTCATCTGCTTCGTTGGTGCCAGAATATGGGACTAGATCCAGAAATTGTCTAGACACCATCACCTCATCTTTCTTCACTTCCGACTTTACTTCTTGAATCTGAATCCATTGAACATATTTATGTCACTGATTCGAATAAAATTAATAGATATTATACAGTTCCAATAATATATAAATATATATAAGAAGAATAAAATTACCTCATGTTCATGGGTGGTTTTGACTCCCTGATTTCTTTGCTGTTTCATTAAGGTCACAAGGTGCATCTGGAGAGCAGTGTAGTTGTTGCTGACATGACTGATCATGTTTCTTAACTTCTGGTTTTCAGCAAGCATACTTTTGAACTTCACTTGTAATTCCGCCAGCTGAATTCAAGTGAAAAACATTAATCAGTGGGCAAAGGTTCCTTGTGCATATATGCTAGCTTGCCGATTCGAAAAGACCCAAAGCAATAAGAACTTTTTCACTTTTAGAATCATCTCCATACCTCATTCTTTGCTCGCTTATCTTCCGTGCCCGATGATTCCCCGCCATCAATCGTGTGAAGATGCAACCCAGTCTACAGAACAAAAACATCATCATCATCATCAATAGTTCAGTCTAACTGTAAAATAATTCAAAGAAAATGTTTTTTCAAGGGCAAAAGAAAAAAAACATTTGCATATACATCCAAATGACCAGAGGCTGGACCGCCTCCACCATGAGAAATTTCCGTCTTGACGGTGACAGTAGTACCGATTTTGTTATCATCAACAACCCTGTGTTTCTTATCGGAGAAAAAATCGACTTCATCAACCACCTGCTGGTTGTCAGCAGAAGCAGGTGAGGAGGTTCCACGGTGGTCCTCCCTGGAGCTAGCAAGGCTAACAGGGAACTGAAACATGTCCGGCTGCTGCTGCTTTAACCTGAAGAAAGGTCCGGCGGAGGCGGAATTGGTTTTGTTGGGGAAGAAACTAGATACAGGGTCAGTATTACCAAGGGTAAGCCCCCATCCTCTGTCCATAAATAAATGAAGAAACTGTGAGAAGACTAAACGAGAGAAGAAGACCAAATTAAAGATGGAGCTTGAAAGAGAAAGGGAGATATGGGAAGGCGTTTGAAATGTATTGTGAAAGTCTTTCTACTCTCTTTTACCGGTGCAATGGGGTCGCTAATAAAAGAACGTAGACCAGATATAGCTACAGCGTATTACAATTTTTGGATTTTATTCTTTTCGTATAATTATTACGTCAGATGATGCGTCAGATTGCCATCTGGCAAATTGACACCTCTGAGAAACTAAATAAGGAAAAGAGTGAAGCAACTTCCTTTTTTGCCCATTAACCTTTTCCAATTGTTTTTGGCAGAAATTAAAACTATATGATAATTTGGAAACAAAGATCATGTAGAATTACTATACTAGTCAACGAGCAAATGTTTTGGATAATAATTTCTCTTGATTTTTTTAAATCATAAAAGAATTTAATTCTCGAGTGTAATTAGTCGATAGTAGTATTTTTTTAACTTTAAATAGTGAGATTTAGACATCGGTCATCAATATTAATAAATACTTAATTAATTGAGTCCGTCTATATTTAATAATAATATTTGAATGTTTTTAAAGTGTCAAAACTAAAAGAAAAGAATAGAGAGACGGTTGCGGTGCGGTTTGAGAGCTATTGGAAGTTGAGAAATAAAAAAACAGGTTGCGTCAAGAAAGGGATTTGACCATGGTTTTCAGAACGGGCCGGTTACCGAACTGGTCATGCTATCGGTTTATTGGTTCAATCGATCGAATCGTTTTGATCGGTTAGAAGAACCGGAGGACGTCATAATTATTTAAAAAATTAAATAAAAATACAAAAAATAATTAATAAAAAATATTTTTTTATATCACAAGTTATATTCAAAGCAAATCATAAGATATATAAGTTAAAAACCACAAAATCAAGTGAAACAAAATAATTCAAATTAACTACAACATAATATTTAAGGTAAAACATATTAAATAATAAATATAATTATATAACTATAATAAAAAAAATTGAGGTTAAAACAATCATAACAAAATGATATTGTTGGTTTAATTTAAAAAAAACAATATCACATAGCTAAGAAACATAGAAGAGCATCCCAACTAACTTTTATAAATAATAGAGGTAATTTGACATTCAAAAACATGGAGCCTTTTGGTGAGCATAGAATGAACTATTCTTTCACTTCAATCAAGCTCGAATTTTAGGCTTCAATCGAACTTCTAATTTTTTTTGAGTTCGAGCCTTTTCGAGTTCAAGTTTCAATATTATATTTCGAGTTCAAGCTCGTGAGTTTGAGTCGAGTTGAGCTTACTTTTAAAGTTTTCAAGTTCGAGTCGAGCTTAGCAATACTCGAGTTCGACTCGGCTCGTTTAAGAAATGACGTCGTTTGATTTAATTTTTTTTAAAAAAATTGGCGGTTCAACCGATTCATGGTCCGGTCCGATTCGAACGGTTCAACGAGTCCGTCCAATTCAGTAGTAGCGGTTTAACCGAATTATAATGAATCGGACCAGACAATAATTCCCGATTGAACCGGCCGGTCCGATTTTTAAAACACTGGATTTGACGTCCCTTGTTTTTTAATTCTAAAGTAAAAGAAACAAATCCACCGCCCGAAGGGTGCGGCGCGTTCCACGTGATTAAAATTACAGGTTAATGTCTTGCGACGGAAAACGAGAGGAGATATGTTCGAGCTTGTTCCAAAATTCAACCAGTGAGACAATAAGGGATGGATTTAAGTTAAACTTTTCAAGAAGAATTAGATTTTACAATCAATTTTCATTTTGTTTAGATTATACGTAGTTGATCACTTATTATAATGATTTTACAATTGTAATGGTGATTGAATCTATTAATTTTTAAAATGAAAATCAAATAATGAGAATTTTATTTATTTTAATAATTATTATTTAGGAAAAAAAGAAAATAAATTTTTTATTTTTAATGAGTATTGAACTCATAATTTAGAGGAAAAATGTATAAATAAAGAGTTTTTAACCACTCGTTTAAGAGATTGTTGATAGTGTGTATGAAGTAAGATACAAATAATGTGTTGTAACATAATATTAGGGTAAATTATATCAATGGCCACATAACTATTTTTCTATTTTATTTTAATTACCGATCTTTCAATTCTGTCAATCAGATCACTTAATTATTTAAATGATATCGATCAAGTCACTTATTGTTACCATTTAACAGAAGTACTAAAGTGACATTTAAGATTATATACATATATATATATATTCATTGAATTATAAATGTGAAAAAGAAAATACAAAATTTATTTTAAGAATATATAAATCTTAAATTTGTTTTTTCTTTGAAGTTTGTATGAACTAGTGTTTAAAACATATATGAAACCTATCTTATTATTAACTAAATGCAAGGTTTGCTTTAGTGGTTTTGTGCTCCCTACTTCTTTACGTGGCCTATGTTTGAATCTCTCAATGGTCATTTTTCTTTCCCATTTTTTGGCATTAAATATATATATATATATATACATATATTATTGTGCAATGAATAACACAAACGTGGGCGTTTGCTAAGTGGTTAGGAGCATGTACATTGTTCCCTTGGTCTCAAGTTTGACTCCTCTAAGCCCCCTTCGTTTCTTTATAATTTAATTTTCCTTCATTCAAATGTCATCTGATTTAGGGATTAAATTTATTGAATTAAATTAAAATTATGATCAAATTTATATAATATATAAGTATTAAGGATCAAAGATATAATTATACTAATTTAGGTAATTACTACGTCAACACCCCTGTTAAATATTAACGACAAGTGGTTAAGTTGTCCGATTGACAAAGTTAAAAGATTGATGGTTAAAGTAAAATGAAAAAATAACTAAGTGGTCATTGATATAGTTTACCTAATTTTTATATATCGTTGTTACATTCAAATTAATCTATTTTATTACTTGAAATATATTATTTATAGGATAAAGTACACAAATGGTCATTCGACTATATAGTGTTATTTTGTTGAGCCCATCAACTATTAAAAGTTACAAAATGGTTACTCGAGTATTCATATGTTCCAAACTTGTCATTTTTAGGCATAAAATTGACGGTCGTCTGAGCTACACGTTAACATGTTGATTGAGATATAATAGTTATTTGAGATTATGTGATAAGATTTTTAACATATCCCTATCAACGGATTAACATCTAACTCATAATGTGTCATTTTTTTAAAGGAGAATGACGAGTTTAGAATATATGAATAGTCTGGTGACTATTTTGTAATTTTTAATAGTCGGGAGACTTAATGAAACGACATCCTATAGTCGAAGGATCATTTGTGTACTTTATCCTTGTTTATAAATGTATTTATTTTAAATTTTATATCTAATTAATAAATTTAAATTGTTATTTTTCTCAAAGTATCCATGAAAACAAGTTCAATAATATTTTTTTCCACATTTTGTAGGCTTGAAAGGATACAATACTAATAATAAATTTTAGAAATTCTTTATTCTTAAGAAGAAGATTGAATTCTCAATCACTAATTAAAATATAAAATCTTCGACTGTTTCAGAACTCATGATTAATTTTAATTTGACTTTTGATATTACCTATTCAGCCAAAAATTAAACTGCCCTACAAAACTCGAATGGGTGAATTGCACGAAGAAATCATTTATATATAATTATCTTTGCCTTGGAGCTGAAAGCCAAGTCAACGATTTGACATATCGGGTCTCGTATGATTGGCGACCGGCTGGAGCTCAGCTGTGGCTGGGTCTGTTTACCGGTGGGGAAGAGTCATTTACTAAATGGACAGTTTTTAAGAAGAAAAAAAACATTTTTTATATTGCCGGAGGTTGTTTTTCATCTTCTCTCTAAAGTTTGTAATTTTTCTTTTTCATATCATTATTATGTCTCATTTGATTAATAAACATCTGGTGCAACCAACAATCAGTTAGTCTAGTGAGATGAGGTATTAGGTTCTTAAGCAAAGTCAGATGTTCGAATCTTGGTGTTTGCGAATGGAGCAAATTGGGTTGTGAGAGTCTAGCTCGTCTCTGCAGTACCTGATCTAGATTAGTCGGTCAATAAATCAGATATCAGTGATTAATAAACACCTGGTGCAAAATTGCAAATAATAGCAGGAAGCTCATTTAAATAAAATAAAATAAAATGATAATATAGAAAAACACCAATCAACAGTGAAAAATTCTACAATTAAAATTAAATAACGTGTGTGACTCTATTTATATGGATGATATATAGAACTTGGCCTGCAAAGATTAGTCCAACGTGTTACGTACACTGATAAATTATTGAATGCATTTTCTTCTGTTATATTCGAGAAGCCATTGATTAAGATTAAATATATATATTTTTAATTCCTTCCATAATTGTTTGATAAGATCAATAAAATCGTCAGGATTTGGGAATTCCAAGCAGCAATTAAAGCATTCTTTTTCGCAGCGCAAGCCAAAATAGAAGAAGCGGGTTGGATTGAAATTTAATACATTATCTTTTCAAAATATTTAATTATTATTTATATAAAAATTTAATATTTATTAAAAAAGTAAAAGGAAAAAAAGGAAAACCAAGTCAAGAACAGAGTTGTGGCTGCAGTATTAAACATGGCTGGAAGATTAGGTGCATGGTTTGATTTATTGATTATTTCTTATTAATAAGACAAAAGTTAAATTTTTATTTAGTAACATTAAAATTTCGAGGGTTTATCTGAACATCTTATTTAATTTGTAATAAAAGTAAAAGAGTTGGGTAAATTTTGTTTTTCATCTTTGGATTATGAAAAACAGGTAATTTCAACATCAAGTGATACTTGGTTTAGCTTTTTCTCCTCTAGTTTGTCATCTATGATTCGTTTTGAAAATTGATGGAACATGTTGAATGAAGCCAAAAGTTAATGACTAATTGAATTCTATTCAAACTTATATATATAGACAAGAAAGGGACGTCGCCATGCACCTATTCTTCTGAATTTTCCTCTTTAGCCAACAAGTTGTTGGACTTGGAATTCACACCCAAACAGTGCCAAGAAACTCAGATGAAATGACATTGTCGTAACGAGGAATGTTGGCTTTTTTTTTCGT